TGAGAGAGAGAGTGAGAGAGAGTGAGAGAGAGAGAGAGAGAGAGAGAGAGAGAGAGAGAGCGAGAGAGAGAGAGAGAGAAACAGAAAGAAAGAGACAGTAAAGAGAGACAGAGAGAGAGTGAGAGGGAGAGAGAGGGGGGGAGAGGAAGAATGAGAGACCACTTTGCTAGAAACATTAAGTGAAAAGAAAAATCAAGACAGACAAACAGAAACAACAGAGGAAAAGAACAGATGTGGGGCCTACAAGTGGAGCCCCACCCTTCCAAACACCCCCATCATCCAATCCCCACCCCATCAAACCCACTCCTCCCCCCTTCTCCCTCTTCCCTAACCCCCTGTAACCATCTCACAGTTCCAGCATAATAACAAATAGTAGAACATGTGAAGTCAAGAAGATAGCAGTGTGCCGAGAAAACAGATGTACCTACCACTTCTCCCTGCGTCCTGAAGCTGAATCTTGAGAAGCTCCATGGGTGTAGTGATAATGATTTGGAACATTCCAGCACCTCCGCCTGCCACAATCTCTCTGCCTAGGGTCAATGTGCCACTGCATAAAGAGGGAAAGAAAGAGATTTTAGTTTTCGTAAGAGTTTTACAGCACTTGCAACACAATAAGGTCATACAAGTGCCAATGATTAGAGGCGTTACAAGAGAGTAACAAACACAAAAAAGAAAAAGGGCAGATGAGGACGATATATGGTCACTTTTAAGGACAAGCAGGCTGATCCATATTTCGAGGGTTGCAAGCGAGGTGGGGAGGATGAGGGGATCTGACATGTGTGGCTTCCCGGATTGCTAATTGGTGTGGTCTTGAAGCTTAGGCTAGACTCAACTTATCATGCTAGTGATTTGATTTGATGATTCGACCTAGAGATTTCAGGCTTGTGACTTGAACTAGGGGCTTGGGAGAACGAGCGGGTTTGCTACCGGGGTACAGCTCTACAAGGCAGCTTGACAGAAACAACAGCAGAAAAGAGAAAAAGCAGGACCTACCGGTGGCATTCTCGACCACCTGCCCACAGCAACATGAAGACAAATTATACACTTCTTTAATTCATCATTAGGAATGGCAACAACCATACAACAGAAATAAAAATACATGTTTATAAAAATAAAATCTATGAGGCCACAGGCAATTTTTAGCCAGCTTCTCAGGAGGACAAAGGTACAGTGACTACAAGATCAAAGGAGAAATTCTGTACTACTGGTAGTTATAAACTTGACCTCTATGCTGAAGTTGAAGGTTTGAGTCCAACTAAAATCCAAATAAATTTTTTTTCAGAGAAAAACATTCATTTCAGTTCAGTGCTCTCCCAAGAAACAGATCTGAAATGGACATCAGCGATCTTTATTTTTAAAAATTTTTTTGCGGACTTCTCTGCACAGACATTCTACCCATGTCTTTTCCCCTCATCTATCTGTTCAAGTTCTTGACTTTTAAGTAAGTTTTTCTTGTTCTACTTCAGCCTCTTTAGCCTTTCATCTTTTGTTTTTTTAGATAGCAAGATATTGAAGGTCTTCATGTCGGTCTAAGTATTCCAGGAACTGCATATTTCTGTTCTTTTCCTAAGGAGTCTTGCAGAGCATGAAATTCTAGAAACTGCTGGATAAAAACAACACAAGCAAACAAACAAACAATCAACAACAAAAAAAAAAACCCCAGACAAACAAATGAGCCTACTCACTCAGCATTAGCCAGTCGATGTCGGAAGAAATCATTCCCCACCAGTTTGATGACTTTCTCCGGGGTGATGAGCAGTAGGTTCACACCAGAGCCTGTCAGTCAGAAGCATCATTAGAAGTGTTTTACGCTTCTGTTCAAATTTACCCAATTAACATCATTTTGGTGACGGCTGCTCCAACCCAGCCTGTCAAGCGGTTGATGAGTCGATCATAATATAACCGAAAGGTGAGAATGAGTGATGTAAGTAATTTATACATCAACTTATAAATATTTAAAGAGGCAGAGACAGGAAAACTATCAGAGAATCAAACAAAACTAACAGAAAAATCTCAGAGGCATTTAAGACCCTCAGAGGGAATAACTACCTTCAAAAATATTTTTTCTTTTTCCAAAACACAGAAGATGTACAGCAAGCCACAGGTAAAATGCATAAAAAGAGAGAGAAAGAAAAAATAACAGAGACAGAGAGGGTGGAGGGATAGAGGGAGGAAGAGAGAGAGAGAGAGAGAGAGAGAGAGAGAGAGAGAGAGAGAGAAG